CTCTTTCCAGTTCCAAAATAGATCTTTTGCCAGCTCCTCCCCACACTGCTATACCATATTCAAGGACCGATTGACAGACGCAGTGGTAAACCATGCGCAGGATATTTTTTGCCACGTAGTTTCGCAATTTTTTCATGGTGGATATTAGCTTTCTAACACGAAGACTAAGCTGATGAATGTGAGGCTTAAAATATAAGTTTTCGTCTATTACTATTCCCAGATATTTAACCGAGTTAGTGTGTTTAAGGGCTACACATGTGCAATCATTGCTTGTAAAAGTTGTATTTGGCGAGCAAGAGTGAAGCTTTATGAATAGGTGTTCTGGGGGTTGTGATGTCGCGGTTTTGTAAAAGGGTAGTACCATCGATTTAGTTGCATTCAAGGTAAGTAAGTTGGTGTTAAGACTGTGATGGAGTTCTTGTAGCCCTGTCTCAGCGAGCTTGTAATAAGGCCGCCCATTGTACAACCCTTACATAATTGATATTTTTAATGTATTCTTTTTAGCAAGGTGTGTGCAATAAAGAATATTCATTCATTCATTCAAATATTTTTTGTTATTTATGATTTTTTTTTTAATGTGGACGATGTAATTTTATTTTGTGTACGGCTATTTTAGGAGTTTTCATTTGGGTTGATTATATTTTATTATTAACCCCTGTCCCGATAGTCCCGTCTTAGGCTACTTGTCATTGAAGTGGAGCCAGCGTGCGGAGTAGAGGAATAGAGAATATTATAACCAATACGACTACATAAAATCTGGTAACGAAGAAATAAATAAAAGAAAATCCAAAAATAAGTAAGCCTACCAATAGCTACTTAAAAAAATAATATACAGGGTTGCTTTTCTAAGTGTATCCATTTTTTTATTAAATTCTAAACATAAATAAAGTTATATAAAAATGATAAATATTTAAAATCAGTCGTAATTAATTAGTTACATTTATTTGAACTTATCTCAGAAAGTGCGTGATTTATGGGCAACTCATTTATTTTACGCGCGATCATTCATAACTAACACGCACACAAGTTTATTTCAAAAGTATACGACGCATTTATGTATGACTACCGCATTGTCAACAAGTTTGTTGTTGTTTTTGGGGAAAAGAATGTTTTTTTTTTTTTTTTTTTTTTTTTTTAAAAGTTTGTTTTAATTTCAATAAACGATTATACTACCGAGTCTGAACCTCCTGTGTGAATTTGGGCACCTTTATAAAAGCCACCCTGTATGATAATAAAAATCAACGCTATGTACGAGCAAAACAGAACTTTGCAAATCTGTCTATATATGACGAAGGTATGCCCATACCTACATAAAAAATATAAACATCCGAATTGATAACCTCCTTCTTTTTGTAGTCGGTTAAAAATAAGTACCTACTTTTTACTTCTATCTATGATTATAAAATTAAATTATAACTTCTTATCACTTGACCACGACTACGTTACCCCCCCCCCCCCCCTGGCACCAAAGCTGGATCCGCCCTTGCACATGGTCACATATAGCAACGGTCACTTGCTTTTTAGCTGCGTTCCCGGTCGGTGATATAAGCACTAAAGCCGCTTGTCGTTATAATTGCTGTTAATATTCAAGTTCAGAAATAGTTAAAATATTATAATCAAATTAACAGCGTTAAAACTCTTATACCTTATAACCAGTCAACTATATTTCCTAATCACGATACTCACGACGCCCTTAAACTCTTGTGCGTTTCAATTATTCAAAATTTATATTCCGATGCGCATCCCTATACGATATGCGCTCCAAAAGTTCGGATATATTTCAATTGCTGATATAATACCTGAATTAAAGTTATCCAACACAAAATTCGCCCTTGAATTCCTTTGATAGACCTCTGATAAACCAATTATCTTTCGATTTTCGACATCTTATTTATAACAATTAAGCAAAATCTAATAAAAAATTGACCCCTCCTCATGTCTCTTGTCCAGGATTAGATCGAAGCTTCTAGCCAGAAATAAAGGAAATAAAGGAATCACGGAACTGATCCCCTTCAACTGATCAAAGTTGAAGTGATTTAAATTTGCTTTTGAAGATAGTATGTCATAAGAAGTCGGGTCTTTTTTTGTATCGGTGGGAAAATCTTCGAAAGATGCCCTGTCACCTTACATAACAGGGTTCTTACCCACTAAAACCTCCTCGGTAGCCACCGTCTGTACGTTTGGAGGGACTCTGGGTAATCCTATGGACCGCACCGGAGTCCCTCGGTACTGTGCGTGATCACGCCTCGGAGAAGGATAGACCTTCCTCGACTACCTCACCCTCTTGCAGCAGCACGAGACCACTTCGTGCTTTTCGCGTTTATTTTTAATATCATTCCTTTTCTTTTCAGCGTTAGACTGATGTCTGAATGTCATTGTTAGGGCGGGCTATGACCAGTTTTTAAATTGATAATTTTGTGTCGATCTATGTGGAACATGCTAAATATTATCTATCATTATATCTTGTAGTGGTCCGTTTGGGCCTAGAATTAATTTTATCCTACTCCGACGCAACAGTCTTCTCAAACTAAGACTGTTTAAAACTGTTAAGTTCATAAAGTTAGTTAAAGTTAGTTTAGTAAGAAATATTAATTTTGATATGCGCCTGAAAGTTAATGATTTTACCCTAAGCCCTGGTTTCAGCGCCATCTAGTGGCACACGATTGCATTATCGTAGAACGAGCGTATTTGCTTATGGTTACGTTTATAACATTCTTTAATAATTTTACACAAGATGGCGTTAATGATAGTTACCTTAACGTGTACACGCAGTTTTACATAATACATTTATCTTAATTGTTTATTACATGACGTTCTAGCTTTCAGTTAGTGGATTTATCTACTGTTTTATCGAACGCAAAGCCCGTGAAATAAAATTAAACAGTGATTTATAGGACCGCTCACATTGGGTAGAGTCGCTATGTACTAATTGGTTCGTTATCTACTGATGAAATTCTCTATCTACTGAAACAATCTTATTTATAATTTATATTACTAGGTCATCCACTGAAGGTCTCACCTACGGGTCGATGGAGCAGTATTGTCCTACAACCTGAAGGTTATTCGATGGGGGAAATGCGAAGTAAGTGTAGGAGGTTATGGGTCGTATGCAAGCCATGTACAAATTAAAAGTACGTAAGTGAAAACAGAAACCTTCGACCTATACTGCACGGTATTACCATGGCAACCAATTTTGACAATTTTACAACAATTTTACATTTAATTCCAAGTTATTTATTTAAAATATTAAATAAATATAAATAAATAAATATTTTAGGACACAGTTTTCCATAACTCTCTGTGGTCCGAAGCTAAGCAACGCTTGTACTAGATACAGTGGCGTAGCTACCTAGGGGATAGGCGGGGCCCTCGAAGCTTTACCAGAAATCTCGATCGAACTGAACTTTTGCAAATTTCTCCCATTTTCGAAATAAATATGACAGGTTGCAACCCCGCTTTAGTCATGACAACTGAGTTGAGAAAAATTCAAAGGTTATCAAATCAAATCAATCAAATCATTTATTCATCGAAATAAGAAATATTCATTTCATTTATCGATAGTCATTTTTAAAATCTACCACCGTTTCGTAATGGGGTTCCTCTAACTGAGAAGAAACATGCGAAAGAAACTCCGTAGGTATCCTCTTTTTTGTCATTTTTTTTACTCAACAAATACATAGTTATACAGTAAATATTTTTTTTTTGTTTTTAGAAACAGCTTAGGAGCGATCATCTCATTCCCAGGGGTTATTATCGTTAATGTATTCATTTATATTATAATAACCCTTTTTAAAGAGTTTTTCTTTCATAAATTTTTTAAACCTTTTTTTAAATTTTTTAATTTGTTAATAGATAGGTTTTGTACATGAACGAGTTACTGACTCTATGGAGTCATTTAATATTTACCAACTAACTTAAATGGACTGTTCACCAATTATGTAGGAAATAATGAGCAAATATGGAGTGAATTTACAGCAATGTTATTATTCATTACAATTCCTGTCACTTCTGCAGCAGCTGAAAGGTCATTTAGCAAATTAAAAATAATAAAAAAATATTTAAGAAATAACATGGGCCAAACTCGACTCCGACATTTATAGCTAATAGCAATTGAAAACAAAACCACATCAAGCCTGGATTTAAACAAAGTCATTGTTACTTTTGCGAAAGCTAAAGCTAGGAAAAAATTGTAAATATAATTATTAACTAGTCAGTTGGTAGGCCCGACATTTATGTGTATAATAGACCCTTGAATCTTCTCTATTTCGTTTTATTAGCCAAACCTACGCCAAGTATTGATTGTAATTTATGTTGTTACTGTTTAATATTTTTATGACCTGCCTTGTAGTGCACAAAAAAGAGCTTAAGTAGCTTCGCATTCATGTTTTTATTTGATAAAATCAGTTTACATAGCAGTGGGGCCCCATTTTTTAATTTGCCCCAGGGCTCTTGGTTGCCTCGCTACACCACTGACTAGATAACTGATAAACATACTTAAACGTACTTTTCTTTTGAAAATAAATACATATTATACACATGTAAACACCCAGACACTATAAAACACACGGTAGGGCCACGCAGCAGCCTCGGCTGTTGCACGAATGGGCAGGCCCGTCCGGGTAAGTACCACGACCTCACAGAAGACCGGCGTAAAGTGGAAGTATAATGCTTTCGCGTTTCATCTGGTGAGTGAGGTGGCCGGAGCCCAGTGCACTTGGTCTGACATAGCTCGATTTAAATAACAAACGGCAAATTCTATAACACAGGAGTTCAGGGAGCCACCATGCTACGAACTGTTGTAATGACAGTTATGAAACGAAAATAAATAAGTATAACGCATTTTTGACTTCGACTAAGGAAATTCATGCTATTGTTTACTGAGGAACAAAATATCCATATTTTGTTCTTAATAAAAAAATACTTTTTTTTTTTCCAAAAGACATTTATTTCGTTAAGCGTAACGGTTTTCCCGATCAGTGATAATTGGTTCGGAATGCTTAGGTCAGTTGGGACCAGATCCAGGCGTTGTAGGAGGTAACTCTTGCGAAACCGGACGGCAATCCAATCTGACAGCCACGGCCAGAGACGAAAGATGCGACACCGATCTGCGGGGAGATAAATTATGTGATGAATCACTACATAGTATAAACAAAGTCGTCCCGCTGTCTGTTAATCCCGATGTATGCTTAGATCTTTAAAAAAATGAACCGTCACGGGACGCCTGGCAGATGTGAAACATCGACATTATTTTGTAAGAGTAATATTATGCAGAAAAGAACAGATTGTGATAGGAACTAAATATGTCATAATGATAAAATAAAATATAAAAATTTTTTTGCTGGTGCGGGAATCGAACCCACATCTTCCCGATTTGCTCCCAGTCACTTTAACCACCAAGCTAAACAGCTGATTGCGACACCGACGAAAATCTCTCTCATCTCTACTTTGTTCTTCACATTTTAAGCAATATTTCAAGTCAGTCAAATGCTATACATATCAGATTTGCATCTTCAGCCAGTTAAAGACAAAAGAGAGAAAGAGAAAAAGATCGAAAGAGAGAAAGAGTGGGAATACTAACGAGGGTGGTGCCGACGGCAAGAGGTCCACCGGAGTCTCCTCGACAGATATTCCTGCCTCCTTCGCCACTGACGCAAAGCGTGGAGCTTATGACGAATGGGTCCCCGTAAACGTTTAGGCACTCGGCGTTCGTGATGACCCGCAGGCTCACGTGGTAGAGCATCTGGCTGGTGCTTATGCCAGCCGCTGTGGGCACACAAGTAGCCACGGCTCGTACAAACTTCGCGGCAATACGAACAAAAACAGAGCACCCATCCCTCCGTTTCGTTTAAGTACTTTTTGTGATTATTTTCAAAATTCCAACTTCGGGCTTACTGAAAGCTTCTGGAATTGGCAACTAACAATTTAAAAAATAAGATATCACGGAGCTTTGAAAGACAATTCTCTGAAAACTCGACACATTTAAAATTACGCGACTGTCCCATGTTCTAAATCTTCGATCTTTTACGGCTTCGATGTCGCTAAAGAGAGTTGGCAAGGACTTCAATTGGCTCCATTGTGATATACGGACAGGTACAATATTCTCTCCGTACGATGGCGGATTGAAATTGACCAAAGCAATATCACGCATTCCCCTAAGATAACATTAAATGCGCCTCGTATTTGATCGTCTTGTTTTCAAGAGCTCGCTGCTCAATATTAGATCCATTGCTTCACATGATGATTCCAGCTAAAAATGCAAAGCTGCGTAAACTGCAATAGTTAACGGTGTATGCTGCGAAAAACAATACGAGTATCATATCAATAATATATGTTATTATTTCCAGAAACTTTCAGTATAACCTATGTGACAGACTGCGTTTCTTCGTTTGGATTGTACGAGTAATCGCAGCTAAGAGGTCAATGCAGATCTTGATATGTTTTGAAACCACAAACGAGCAACTGATTGTTGTGGTCTTTGTTAACGGTCTATTACAAGATGAAATTTAATATCATCTGGAAGGTGTAATGTAATGAAATATACTCATTACAATACACTCGCACAGCCGATCTCCTTCATTAAAGCGCCATCTTCTGCCGTATTGTGTTAAGGCGTGTGGGTACACGCATTATGTGCTCTCGCCTAGTTTCAATGATGGGGAGACATCTGCTCCAATCTCAGTGATCGGCGGCCACTTGCTTATCGGATGGTTAATATAAAATATAAATGTTTGGATTAACCCATCATCATCATAATTATCATTTCAGCCTGTTTGAGTCCACTGCTGAACATAGGTCTCCCCCACAGAACATCACGAAGCGCGATCCTGAGCTAACTGCATCCATTATTTTTTTATGTGGTAAGTTGTCAAGCGAGCAAACTCGCTTCAGGTTCCAGACACCACATCAAATTCACCTGATGTTAAGTAAATACCGCCGCCCTTGGACATATACTACACCCGAGGGTTGCAGACGTTGACAACCATTTGAAAATTGGGCTCCAATCGTGTTAAACATCAGTGCATAAACTAACAATAAGTTTTATCGGAAGCTGGAACTCTTCAAGTTGATGTCGTGGCGATCGCCGCTGCCGCTGTTATCCCCGTGCCCCAAGAAACGACAATCAAGGTGCGTATTTTTTGAAATGACTGTTGGGTACCTAATGTGTGTACATGTTTAGCTCTGTAAGATTAGTTTATCAGCCCTATAGATTACAGTCCACAAAAACATTAACGAAAAAGTGTCACACAGTGTGTGCAGTCTTATTTGGAAGAGAATAAATCACTCACAGTCCCTAGTTCTGCCGAAACCGGCGGCCATGGCCCAGGTTCCCGCGTAATTGTTGTTGCCCGAAGCCAGGTTGATTGGTCCAATGACGTCTGGAAAGTAACACGAGATGTTTAGTACCCTTCGTAGAAATGTTTAGGAAGCGAGATTTCTGATGCTAGATACGAACCACTCCATTTACCACTGGTGACGAACTCGTCACAAATATCACTGGTGACGAGTTCGTCATCACAAATCCAGCACAGACTCACAGAACTTATGTAATATTTCCTGTTTTCGAATGTTCATGAAATTTTCACCAATTCATTCAAATATATGAATGCTCCTGATGATGAATAATTTTTATGTGACAATCACCTTATGGTAATTGATCTACGGCTATGGTCATCTCTAACACGCTTTGGGTCTAGTGTGTTGCTACCTCTTAAAAAGTGGGCCAAATTGACTCACTAACCAGATTAAACTAAGACGTGTACTAATTAAAATTGTATAGAAAAATTGACTAAAAATCTTTCACCGCGTCCTCTTGGATACGCGCCTAACTCTTGAACTGCAGTATAATAAAACATCATGTAGCTCTTATTGAATATCGTGGTACTTTCTCGGAAGGTCCTGCCCATTTGTTCCTTAGCAGAGGCTGCTGCTTAGGTGAAAGCATAATGCTCCAACAGAGATCCTCTCTCTTTCTCTCTCCCTCTTTCTGCTTTCTCTCTCCCTCTTTCTGCCTCCCTCACACTTTTGCGCAAATTAATTCAACAACGTTAGATGAAGCGAGCTAGATTCGTCAAATGAAGTATAATTCGACTTTCTTATGTACAATTTTAATATTATGAATACGGTTTCTAATGTTTGATAACACATTCAAATGAAACCATTAGTAATGAAAAAATATAGATGTAATAAGAAAAAATAAAGTACGCAGATTTTATTATGAAATACATTGAATGTTGTGCAAAAAGTGCAAGGAACTTCAGGTGTCTCTCCGCTGCACATTATTCATGCTAATTGCTATGAAATTGCTAAAAATATATTGCGTTGACGTGCGTACTATCTACAATAAATCCAACTAGTTGAAGAAAGTACTTACTGGAGAAGTTGACCCGGCTGATAGTGATGACGGCGATATCGTTGTTCAGGCTGCTGGGGTTCCACGAGCCATGCATGACGACGCTGTTGGTGTTGATCCTGGTGCCGCCGGAGAAGAGGCGGAGGGAGGCCAGCACGACCGTGAACTGGCGCGCCTGGTTGCGGCCGTCCCACCAGCAGTGGGCGGCCGTCACCAGGCGGGTGTTGGTCAAGAGGGATGCACCGCACACCGAGGTTGCGCCATTGGTGAGAGTGACCACCAGGCCGGCCTGGCAGTGCGGAGAGCATTTCATTTAAGATATGTTCATCAGTGTCCAGGTGATCGCTTAATTCAATATATTCCAGCAAACTGAACTCATCCCGGTGCCTGCACCAATGATATTGTCAATTTTAAGTTCTGAATTCTCAGGTGCTCAGCGGTGATTGAAAATATCGTGAGGAAATCTGTATATTTTCGAAATAATAACTAGCGACATGTGAGTTCTGCCCATACAAATTGGGATCGCGTGGTGGTGAATGACCTAATAGCCACTGTACAGAGGAAGCCATTGACTAGTGGACCTTGTATAGACTTACTTTATTTAAGCGGCACACGACTTTTTCTCCATTCAACGTAAAATCTTGATAGGTTCAAATCAAATTCGCAATCGAAACCGTCGAACGGAATGTTTGGCGTTCTACTGAAACTAAGCTAGTATCACCAAGTATCAATGAATCAAAATACATGTTTATGTTCACATGCGAATAACCTACCCTTAACTAAATCTGTTAGATTGAGGTGGACTTAAATGGTTAGAATGTAATTCGCATTGAAATATGAAACCTTCAAACTTTTTAGCGGTTCTCCCGAAAAGCCCTTAGACTCACCATGTATGGGTACTGCCCGAGCGCAGCCTGTGTACCCCCCACGATCCTGGCACCGTCGAAGTCGAGGGCCTGCTCCGTCTGCCTGATGAGCTCGGCCTCACGGATGCCAACATTCTCGTGGTAGAACCGGAGGGGCTCCTCGGCTAGCGCGAGGGCCGTCAGGCAGCACAGAGCGACCAGGAACAGTTTCATTGCGAGAGGCTGGATAGGATTATTCCAACCGTGCCGCCGGGAGTTTTTATATTTAAAGCGCTAATCTTATCTGACAAATTTTAATAAATTCAATATCATTAAGATTACGTGAAATTACAGGCAAATGTTCACTTGATTGTTGAGATAAATAGCGATTTATGAATTGATGGACATTAGATAGCATGGATAGCACACTAGCAGGCAGTGTCTATGGTATCTGTGGCACTAAGCAGACATTTACCATTGTTATAAAATGAACATTTCTTTACCCAATTAACGTTTAAATTTTCTTAATCTTAAGGCTGTAAATAAATTGGACCCAAATAACTGAAATCAATTTTATTTTACGTACAATTTTTAACATTAATTCTTTTACTGCTAGCGGAATTAAGGTTATTAGTTAAATTAAATACAGAAGCCGATTAAACTCCTCCCAATGGCTTAATTCAGTAAGTTCCTTATCATAATGGAAAGGAATGAGGAGTGAAAATCAGTCCCAATAAAATATGTTACGTTGCTGTCGTTTCGTTGCTTCTCTTAACAGCTTGTTCGTATTCGTTTAAAAGTTTAGTTTTTGTGAGAAGCGTTAAACATATCCCGTATTGCAAAAAATTATCTTAACAACTATTCGTTACATTGTTATTTATTATACCAATGTGTTATTTTTTTTACTTGAAACAACAAGATGGCGCCGAACGTAACAGGTAAAAAATCGAAGTTCTTCCCCCAAGTGACACATGACCGAAACGACCGAACGAACTCTTACTTTATATTTACGATACGATTTATGTTAATAGAACGGAGCGGTGTCGTCCGCTTAGCTGCATATTCGCCAAAAACCTCCGTGACGTAATCGAAGATGAGAGTAGAAGGGGCGAGAGGCATGAACCTTGAGGCACTCCCGTGAGTTATGTATATTGTACCACGTTTTATTCAGATACTTACTCTGTGCACACACAAACGTAGTAACTTGCAAACACTAACGCGCAGCTACGTCTCGTAGACATTGTGAATATATACGTTTATTAAGACAAAAAGGACTGATGTTACTCATTTCTACAAATATACGGATATAGAACATTTTACAGATTTTAACGCGGTTAAATTGTTACATCAAAATCAATAGGAACCTTAATAATATTAAAAAAAAACGCGTAAGGGGCTCTTGCACTTGGGAATAACCCCCATGTGTCTCTGAATTTTGATGACTTATAAACAAAAAGTACACCCAGAGTTGAAATAAATGGTCGAAGAACACCAAATTTTTATTTTGCATGGACATCAAAGTCACAACACGCCATCGGCATTTCATTTGGAAATTTCATTCATTAACATTGTTCATTAACCTGATATGATATAACCATAAATGATTTACCAAACAATTTTTATATTTGTCGCGTTTAAAATTTATCGTGCTCAAAAATGTCATCGGTCAAAGTATGGGGAATCCATCTGATACAAAGCTTCCTGAAGCCTAAATGGTCGTTTAATACTTTTTTGTATCGAAGGATGTCCCGCATGCAGCTCATCACTGAGATGGCTACGTTCACGTTTAAACTCTTTAAATTGTTTGTAAACAGTGGTATGGTATGGTATTAAGGGATTAAATGTACATCCAACCAATCGAAGTCTATCATAGCTTTGTTTTTGAATAAGACCACGACGAAAATCGTAATAAATCATGAGCCGAAAATTTTAAATTCATATTGAGGTGTACGAAGAATTTTGTTATTGCCGTCAATTTACAAAACAAATGACAAATGAATTCAATATACATTTCATTGCGTGACCAGAGATTTAAAAAAAAATCCGGGATATAAATTGAAAAAGGAGAAAAAGGGTCAGTTCTAAAATCTTTCAGTGTCACCTTCGTAAAAGTAAAAGTAAAGTTACAGCATGTATATGACCCACTGCTGGACAAAGGCCTTCTCTGAACAGAGGATACTTTTATTTTAGCAATGCTTAACCAGTGAGTACTCTACAGTATGCTGAACAGTGAACATTTGAACGAGAGGTGCTGCCTTTACTATTGAACATTTACAATATATTTTTTTTAAAACATTGCTCTCACTTTAGGATAACATTATCCTGTGTTGTAAGGACGTTTTACAAACATAAATTTCACGTGGACAAATACTCAGATTTCACATCTGGGGTCACAACTATCTGTGGGTCGCACAAATAATTGTCCCGTGTGGGATTCGAATCTTAGCAACTGCGCCACGGAGTCATCATAATATAAGTAATGCAAATCCTGATAATATAAGTAATGAAAGGGACGTGACATGAGGGGACCTGAGGGACGCCTGGGTTAACAGTTAGTTGGAATGCTTAATCATACGCCAACTTTAGTAGTATTGTTCTCTAGTTCGCCTTTAATGCCAAAATACTGAAATTCCCAGCCAAATCAAAAGAATTGGCTGGGAATTTGTTTCAAAAGCAGTGCTCAAGACCTCCAGGATACAAGCACCACCTTTTTTTTTTTTTTTTTTTTTATGCGAAAAGTTGTCAAACGAGCAGACGGTTCACCTGATGTTAAGTGAATACCCTCGCCCTTGAACATCTGTTACACCCGAGGGTTACAGATGCGTTGACAACCTTTTGAAAATTGGGCTCCGGCTACCTCACTCACCAGACGAAACGCGAAAGTATTTGTCATACTTCCACTTTACGCTGATCTTCTGTGAGGTCGTGGTACTTACCCGGACGGGCCTGCCCATTCGTGCAACAGCCGAAGCTGCTGCGTGGCCCTACCACCGTTGTATTACTGTATCTTGCTTAGACCAGTGCTAAATGTTTTATTGTTATTTTTAATTAATTGCTATCGGCTCTACATCATTGAAAATTTTCCCCCGATAATGAATATAATGATAACATGAGGAAAAAAATGTTTTTAGATATTGTTTTAGCACAATGCGCGCACGGATGTGGGGGGAAGTTTGTTATTTGTTAAAGATAGAACTTTCGGTTGGTAACAGAGATACTTGAAAATAGAAAACTGTAATCTTATCCTTTAAACGAGCAATTCTTGTATATATATATAATCGGAATCTCGGAAACGGCTCCAGCGATTTCATGAAATCTAGTATGTGCGTAGATTCAGGGGCAAAAAATCGATCTAGCTAGGTTTCATTTTTAGAAAATGTCCTTTTATCCCTGTTTTCAGGGAATGAAAAATATCAATATGACGGTAAATTTCGCCCCCAAAAAAATGTTATAATAGTCGGTAATCGGGCGGCCCCAAAATAGGCGGCCGCGGTATGTATCACGATCATTTACACAATTATTGGATGCGCCAAGCATTGCTTCAAATGCTAAAAACCAATGTAGATAAAGGACGTTAAGATTTTCGTCGGTGAGGCAATTAGCCGTCTAGTTTGATGGCTAAAGCGTCAGGCCGCGAATGCCGAAGACATATGTTCTATTCCCACAGCGGCGACAATCTTTTCGTACTGTTTCTACATATTTTAATTAACCCTTAAAATATTCCTATGTGTGAATCAAGAACAATAGCGAAATGACAATCACGAAAATCCATCGTCTGATAAAATTCGAAGGTGAGCCGTGCAAGATATAATGAATTAATCCTTCCGACGATTTTCCTTTTGCACCAACAGTTAAGGAAATGTGTAGATAAAAATGTCGATAAATTATTAGCCCCCCAAGGATTCGAACCTATACCGTATACTACGCGTTCCATCTCAACAAGTCAAAGTCAAAATTTCTTCATTCAATGTAGGATTAATTTAAGCTCTTATTGAACGACAAAAAAAATTAAAATGTTATCTCAAACTGAACTAAAACTATTAAGTGCAGAGATAGGCTATAAAATAAAAAACTAAATACGCGTACGTACTCATATGATTAATACCAATCTATATTTTTTTTATGTCAGAAGTTGGCACGCGGGCTGGCGGTTCACCCGATGTTATGTGACAACCGCCGCCCGTTGACATTTTCGTCTTTTAATAAAGTGGGCCCCGTCTACACGACTCACCGAAAACGCAGAAGTGTAACACTTTCTTTTTTCTTTCATTTTTTTCTTTAGGATAACATTATCCTGTGTTGTTAGGACGTTTTACAAACATAAATTACACCCGGACCACACCCTAACTGTGGTAGAGCCACACAGCAGCCTCGGCTGTTGCACGAATGGGCAGGCCCGTCCGGGTAGGTACCACGACCTCACAGAAGACCGGCGTCAAGTGGATGGCCCTCGGGTATAGCTGATGTCCATGGGTGGTGGTATTTACTTAACATCAGGTGAACCGCCTGCTCGTTTGGCAACTTTTCACATAAAAAAACCCAGATGTGAAACAACTATCCGTGGGGTACACAAATACTTGTCCCGTGTGGGGATCGAACCCACAACCCTCGACGACCTTGGCAACGCCACGGAGCCACGGAGTCGTCAAGAAGTGTAACACTTCCACTTCATAACCGGCCGATAACGCAACGCCGCTATGTCTGACGGCATAGCGGCATATGTCTAGCGGTCAGGGGGGGCGTAAGCCTTCCCGTAGAGCGTCACCTTTGCTCGGGCCCTCCCCGTGAGTAGCGGCAGAAACCGTCAAACTAATTACTACGACACGATGGCAAACCCAATATTACAAAGTTCGCTAACTTATCCGGCTCTGTGCGTACTCTCGGTAAACATCGAAGGGTTCTCTCAAGATAAATCAGAGATTCTTTCGGATCTCTATCGCAAAACCAATTGTCACATTCTTTGCGACCAAGAAAGCCACCGAGATGCAACACAGAGTCGCCCACAAATAGCTGGACTCACGCTTATCGCCGAGAACCAATATCTAGCGGTCAGGGGCGCCCAACTAGGCTCCAGCCGGTGGGCCGAAACTGCTTTATAAGGGACAGGATTTTTTTTAACAATGTTCATTTAAACAAATTATTTTTATAACGATAAACAAAAACGACTTTAAATCTCGCTCGGTGTATTCATTTTATAATAGATTTTCAAGGGTTATATAGGTATCTCCGGAGCC